ATTATAGGGAGAAACTATTGTCGGCATGAAAGGGCTTGCCGAGAAACAGCTACTTGGTAGGAAAATGGAACAACAATACAAACGTACGTGGAAAGCCTCAAAGAAGAGTTGCGCATCGATTGTAGATGTTACATTTAAAGAAAGTACACCAACGTTACCTGAGTAATGTTAAAAAAACACCCTCTGCGTCTCGAGGGGCACAAGTATCCACGGAAGTATCTTTGAAGATGAAATGCACCTGTAATTCAGGATTAAATTATTATAATTAATATGTTGAACCCATGCGCGTCAACCGACCCTCTAAGGTCTCAGACTGACCAACCACAACCGTCTCCAAGGTAGAAGGCAAAACTCTAAATTAATAGGCCGTTATATTCCGATGACTTAAAGGGTCATCCAAACAACGGCTGAAACAGCCAGTCCTGTTTCATTATTTTGGCTAAGAAGATGGTTTTTCACGAAATAAAGTGAGGGTAATTGGTTACCTTAGTGGCCGTTTTTGTTAGAGTAGCCTTTAAAGTTACTCACAGAAGTCACCCCTTTGTAGTGAGTGTTAGACTTTCCTAGTCAATTTTATGAGCGATAGATCCCAAGTTTTGATAATTATGAAGTTATAATCCAATGAACATCATTTCTTTTTTGTGCAGTTGGCCATTGTTAACCCAACAACACTGAGCAAAAGGGGTGGTTTCATCCAAGCTGGGTTCCTGTAATAATTCGTCTTCAGCCACAGCCAAGCCAATAGTTGGAGCCGGAGTACAATTCCACAACAAGAAAAAAGGCAGCAGGCAGAGGAAGAAGCAGGGATTTCAACAAGGCGTCTGTCCCGTATGTGCGCGTTTCTTCTTCCTTAACTTTCTTTGCTGCCACTAGTTGCACGCGCTTTCTCAACTAAAAGCTGAAGAGCACGAATTTCATGCCACTGTAGGGTTAAGAACCTTCATGTGTATTTACTGTGTCGGGTACGATGGATGTGCTGAAAGTATGCAGTGCGAACTCATGGTACTATCTCCTCAAAAGATCAGTGCACGTGTGGTAGATGTACCACCATACATTGAGATGGCTTAATACATCAAGTGTCACAAAGGATAAAGATGGTGCACTCACTAATCTGGAGAAGCTAACAGAGGGTAAGAATTTGCCTGTTGGCCGGCTAAATTCGGAGATTGATCCAGGGGCCTCAACTTGAACAGGAGGCGCGTTGCAAATCCAATGGAAATTGACGGTAAAAGAAATTCCCGTGGAGGAAAGGCTCAAGAGACTTCAACGCGATGTTCCGAACGTGGCTGTATAGATCATAATAACTGATGTGTTCTAGCTAAAACTTACCAGTAGCCAAGGAGTTCAGCTTTTGTTGCACAGTGAAGAAACGCCTTGAGTTGGCTTTGGGTTATCTCATCCAAAAAAGTCCTAAGTTTACAACCATGCATCAAGGCTTGTAGCCCTGCTTGGATTCTTATCCTGGTACTTTAGGTGTGAAACATCTTTGGAAGCCCCGTATTTTCAGTTTTTCGTTAACGCATATTCCACCTAAAATAGATGAACGGTTATCTAGCAGAGAACGTCTTCAAGTTTTATACAGCAGTAACTTAGCGTCTATTAGGTGAAGGTTACAGATTATGCAATCCGGTTAGATACTAGATTCGCCACTCTGTGATGTGATCTGTTCAGAAAATGTGTGGTCATCTGAGTGTCTTAGTCGAAGTCCAAGGATATCTCCAAGACCAGGTGGTTTCATAGACTGAAGACGTAGCTGAACATCAATCGGGGGACTGAAAACATGTCCAGCCACATTTATCTATGTTGGACAGAGGTCTCCAAACAGTAAACCGTTCGGTGCTGTGCCCTTGGAACTGGGACAGTTCCATGTAAGTGAATGGGTTTGCAACTTCGAGGCCATTACTAAAGAAAAATGGCTTGCCATGTGCATAACAGCTGCGAATATCATTGAGGTATGGACGAAACAAACAGAGACCTAGTAAACTGCACAAGAAATAATTGGCGTAGGTTTTGAAATATGCCAGTCTTCGTTACCGACTTCGGTGCGATTACTGAGGGAAGATTTAGCCCATCCTGATGGTGGGTAGTCAAGCCCGAGATGTCGCAGCTCACCTATCAGCAATAAATGGTCAACTCCTCCAAATACCTTGGAAATGTCTGAATAAGGTACAAGTACTAAGTGGTGTCGGTCTACCTGGTAAATATAAAGTTTAAGAAAATCAGGATGACCGTTAAAGCAGGGTCCCAATTTCAGCAACCCATGTTGGCTCGATAAGACAAAGTTGTTCCCGAGCATGTGGTAAGGAGTGGTTTGCCCACTAACGTTATCTATGATTCCAGAAATTGCAGGCGTACTACTTAATGGACCCTAGTTACAACTAGTGTCTCTGAACCCCGATTCAAATCTAGGTAGGATAAGTGATGTTTTCCAGATCTTGAGGCACTTGAAAGATTCTAAAGACTTAGGAAATATTTTAGGTGGTAACCGCGAGGCACCGAGGCCACCATATTTAAGGGAACATGATGGAACTCCGTCTGTGCATGGGCCAGCCTATCATTACAGCGTCCTATCGACTTGATTAATACCAATATGTGAATTCAGCCAAGCTCTTTGGGTTTGGTTGAGGAGGAGAGCAGTTTTCCGTGGTGTAAGCCGTGTTAACATGACAAGAAAGATTTATTGGTCCCACATAACTAGCTGCAACTATGTCGCTGAATACGCCTTACGTAACTTTCCGATAACTGTAAGCCCTCTTGTCATGGATAATAAAGGGATGTTATGTCCCATCCGACTCGATCACTCTTCAAAAGGTGCAGAAAAGGAACATATTCCAGATACACTAGCTAGCCCACTACTGTTTTCACCATCCATACGTATACCATGGCTACGCGAGATCTTTTAAAGCGTGCGTTACATCTTCTGTGCTTTCCTCGTGCTTTCGAACTTCGGCAATCTGGCTACGGTACGGTTACATTTTTTACCTGCAAATTAAGGCTTCTAAACATATACGTTATCCGCTCACTGTTGCTGTCATTTTTTCCGCAACTATTGGTTGCATATCTCTGGTTTTCATCAATACATGAACTTTGGTCTGGACTTCAGTGTTCTTCGCTATTTGACGGGAAGTTGTAGCATCTTGCCACTTTATCTACCAGTTTACTGAAAAAGCTGAGGTTGACAGACAACCAATGACTTTAATCTGTGTTGCAGATAAGTCTCTAATCTTGCTATTTTATTGTCAGACAATAAATTTTTGCTTCTTTATGTCTGTGCCTTGTAGCCTTAAAATGAGCGATGTTATTGACGCCGTAAACAAACCAATCCATAAAGCTTAGGGATCAAAAGTTTCGAATCCGTCACTAGGGTCTGAAAATGGCTTATTTATTAATAGTCCTTCTGTCGGTCTGTCTGACGTCATGACTGACGTATATGATGGTGTGATTGCGAATAAGCGTAATATTGTTGACAACAGTAATGCAATTGCTGATCTTCAGCGTAAACTAGACTGTCTTACACCTCTGATTTGCCTGCTCAACCCTACAACGGACTTATCAGTGGATAACCTTATCAGGTGTGAAACATTAGTGAACTCTGTAGCCACTGAAGCCAGCAAACGATTGACTTCGTCCCCCAACTACATTGTCCTCGATGTCCCTGGTAGTTTTCTATTAAGACGTGTTAAAAATGATCTCCAAGCCTGTGGTTTGCATGAATCTGTTTACACAGTCTGGCGTCTTAGAAAGAGGACCCGTAAATACCCCTGTCCAATATTATTCTAGTTTAGCTCAGTCCTTGATACGAGACACTTTTGTGGTTCACAGAAATCTGTAAGACTCTTAAGAAGCTGTGAGAATGTTAGGGTACTTCCAGATCTTACCCCATGTCAAAGACAGACAGGTGTTTCGAAACCTTATGAAGTCCCTCTGGAAACTTCATCAAAACCAATGGCCACCCGGAGCTTACTGGCGCTGGGAGTCAGCTCCTCACACCAGATGACACCGTAAGTGTAGATCAAAAAAGGCTGGCCGAGCATATTGTTGCAAGTACATCAGTTGCCACTGTTTCACCATCCAACATGGTAGTAAACACTGAAACTGAAGGTCAAAACTCCGCCAGTTATGCAGATTTATTCTCATATGATGTTGATATGGATGGCAAAGGTGATGATACGTCCGATATGCACCTGATTCCCCCAAGTTTATCGACAAAACCTGCATCCCCCAGGTGCAGTTACGCTGTCAAGCCTTTACCACCCTCAGATACCATGTTGACCTCTGGGTGTATTGACAATGCACAGTCACAAAGTGCCATGCTTCGAAAATCTAAACCTAAAAGTACTTGTTCGAGTATACCACCAAAGCCAATGTCACAGGAACGTTTTAACCAGCCCCGAAGTAATTATATTTAGACTGTTAAACCTCATGGTTATAACGCCATTCGAAGAGTGACCCCGTTTCTTTACGCAGACACAATCACGACGTCCACCGATATGACACCAATTACTATGGCACCCTAACTAACCAACAGAAAGGTAGGATTCATACACCAAGGTGTTAAAAAGAGAGGGAGGTGGTGGCTGCATCATCTATATCAGGTCCGTCATTGCTGCGACAAATTGTATTACTTCAGAACTCAACTCGCTCAGTGTGGGTTGTGGCGAAGTTTACAATGCAATAACTATCCTCTTGGGGTGTATCTACCGTCCCCCTTGCTCTACTGTAGATTATGACGATTGGCTTGCAGAAGTGTTCACCCACGTGACAACACTGCCCTACTCCATAAAACTTATATGCAGTGACTTTAATATGCATGACATCAAGTGGTAGACACTTACCTCTCCTAGGCGGTTTGATGATTTTATTAATGTGTTGGATTCTGGAGGATGGCGCCAACATGTAATGCAACCGACCAGACATAATAGCATACTTGACCTCGTTTTCACCAATGGATTATTGCCTTTCACTCTCCAAGTCGGTCCAGAATTCCCGGGCAGCGACCACAGAGTAGTGTTTGGTGACTTCCGGCTATCTCCCAGAAATACGTTGGCTCCCGGGTCGAAAACAACCACAGTTAGACGATATAAAAATGCCATCTGGGAAGAGATACAATACATGTTGCGATGCTTGGACTGGGGCTCTTACTTCACCAGTAGCTCAACCCATGAACTAAGTGACATCTTCTACAGTTCCATGAATATAATTCACAATCATATTGCTCCGGAGGTATCAGTATTAATTAGAAAACCGAAAGTGAATTTCATCCGTGAAAAGTACGTATCAGCATGCGCAGACATGCCAGAAATTTCTATCGATCTAATGACTTTTCATCCCTTGTCTCATTAAAAATTGCTCATGAGAACTTCAAATCAAATAAGTTACTGAAAGCAATAAAGCAAGAAAATAGCTGCAACGCACAAACAGGCAATGTTCAATCATCAGTGAGAATTCCAAAATCCCGTGCAAACTTATCTAGGGTTATTCCCAGTAGTCTGATCATTGATGGGGACATTCTTTATGACGACCCAAGCAAGATCTGTGAGCTGTTTAGTAAACATTATGCAAGCTGCTTCACACACGAAGATAGTGTACTAAACATAAATGCCCATTCCACCACACCACTCACTAAGTAAGATTTCCTTTACACAGAGAAAGACAGATGATGTGGCTGCTTCACTAAAGGACTCATATTCTGCCGGACCCGATCGGATCCTGTCTGTCCTCTCCAAGAGGGGTGGTGGAGATATACCACTGATCCTCATGAAGCTATTCTCAATATCCCTTACTGAGGCATGCTACCCTGATCGCTGGAAGCTCTCTTACGTATCTCCCAAGTATAAACCTGGGCCGACATCAGAAATTCAGAATTATCGTCCCATAAATATTACATCTGTAGTCTCTCGTATCATGGAGAAGGTGGTTGTGCAAGAAATCAATGATTACGTGGCTGCGCATCAGCTACTTTCCCCTGTGCAGCATGGTTTCTTAAAAGGTCGTTCGTGTAGTACTTGCTTACTGGATTATTTTGAGGAGGTCACCTGCAGACGAGATGAAGGTCTTTTCGTAACTGCCCTATTTTTTGACTTTAAAAAAGCATTTGATAAAGTGCCTCATAATCGGTCAATTCTTAAGCTTCAATAATTTGGAATTAGTGATTTTTATTATCTTGGATTAGCTCATTCCTTAAGCAGCGTACTCAAATAGTAAAGTTCAGTCAAACCTACTCCTCCCCACAGCCTATTCTGAGTGGCGTCATTCAAGGTAGCGTGTTGGGGCCCTTACTTTTCCTCCTTTACATAAATGATATTTCTAAAGTGATAAAATATGGTAAACCCTACCTATTTGCTCATCGCTAAGTGAGGGTTTTAACAGGATCCAGGAAGACCTGACGAATTTGTTCGCTTGGAGTGAAACATGGCAACCTTCACTCAACTTTAGTAAATGCGGAATTCTCTGTTTCAATAACACTTATCCGAACGTCAGTTTACACCTTGGCGATTCTGTGCTGCAATCTTACAACTCAGTATGTGATTTAGGTATTAGGTATTCTCGGAACTTAACGTTTACGGAATATGCCCAGTTACTTGCCTCCAAGTGTAGGCGCTCAGTTGGCCTTTGCTTAAACACCTATGTACCACTGAGGCCAGACTGCTTTTATTCAAAGTAATGATCAGCCCAGTACTTGAATATGGCACAATCATCTTCAGCAATATGTATGCTTCGGATAGGATACTAATTGGGAATGTTCAAAGAAAGTTTACGCGCTATGTTCTGGGCCGTCACGAAAAACTTGATTATCACGGAAGGTGTAAGAAACTAAAAATTGACCCACTTTGGCTAAGACGCCCTAAGCTCAACCTTAACCTATTTTTCCGCTTTTTGCATGACATTACTCAAGCCTGTTGCGCTCCTACTTTTAAGCCTATGTCCTCATATAGTCTGCGCAATCTTGAATGCACTGTAGGAAAGCACCGCCTTAAACTCAGGTCACGCTCTTT